TATACCAATACAACATAACGTTTTACTGTAAATGTTTTTTGAAAATCTTTGCTAAGTGATGCCTTCGTTTTGCATTACATATATCGGCCTTATATAATAACAATTTTTAGGTGATCCACGTATCCCGTCACATCTGGAAAATCTACGACTCATAAGGGATCATTTCGATAGGGTTGAAAAGATCAACAAGTACTTCAAGCATATGAATGAACTAAATAGAGGGTATATTTGCTGTGCGTAGCGTTCATTCCACTGAATTTCCTATTTTAGACTGTTTGAGAGCGCGGCTCTCGGCATCGACAGCCGTGCTCCGAAAATAGTTAATAACGCCGTGCCTGCCATCGAACAGGTCCTTGCGATTGTTAACGCTTTTTCGGTAAATTCATTACATCATAAAATCTGCTCTGGTGGACCATCCCCACCAATTCCTCTATCTTTTTTATTCTAGAAAATAAGTCATAAATTGGGTTCTCCCAAAGCTCCAAAAATAAAACATTATCAAAAGGATTTCTTTTCACAAATGAAAGTCGTGCATTTTTCTGCTTCCGCAGGCCTCAAAGTCTTCTCCCGGAAAGCTTTCCATACTATCACCACGAGTACTGTCGCTTTTCCCGGAATCTTCGCGTTCATCTTCCAAACGACTTCTCTCACCCACGTTCTTCAGCTTTCAGAAAGATGGATACCTCTCGTTACCGGAATTATTTGATGTATTGCAAATTTATTTACACAATCTCATTTCTAGATCTCTAACGGGTAAATTTCAGATTATCACAACAAATCAGAGATACCAAGAGCTCATGGTGGATATAGTTATGGACATTAGTGGTGCCGGAAGTGTCTTACAAGTTAGTGATTGACTGTTTCGTGTGAGATTTCAGCGCCTCCTCAGCTCAATCCTCATGTTCAGAAGCTTGTGGCTGACATGAGGCCGGAGATTGAAGATATAAAGAATGTCAAACTTCCACTTGTTGAACAGCTTTCTAAGAAAGATGCCGAATGGATGCAGTGAGCACATACCGAACTTTTATGCAAATTTTACGATTTTTTTGCGCATATGCTGTAGGGCTCGCACCACTTTCAACGATTACCAGTCGAAGCAGTACAATGAAAAAGGTTATGCTTTCCTTACCGAAGAACAGCTCAATCTTGTTTACAGCAAAGATGGTACAATTAAAGCATAGTTTCTTCTTCGATTTGATGAGTTTGTACAACTATTTTAGAGCAAAATTTATATGGAATAAACACTACAAATCTTGGAATGATGTCTGAGCGGGAAAGGGTGCAACGATTAGAAAAGGATATTCGAGCAATGGCAGCCTTGGATCGACCAAAATGGCCAATGTGGGACAGTGGTTGGTTTTTTCCGTGGTTCTGATCCACCTGTATCTGTTTTGATATCTATGG